ATTAATATATAAGAAATAGATAAGAACTGTGAAGGGGCTCATGGTAGGGTCCATACTGAACCCATTTTGACCCGCCATCCACATCTTATATGTTTAAGAACTGGAAGTTATATTATATTAGAAAACATAATTTTGTTCATAAATAATAATCATACAGATCCGTCTAGTCGTATCAACTATTTAGACCAAAGTACTAGAGACCTTCGACACTTGTAGCATGTAACACTGGTTTTTATGCCACTCACTTGATCTTTCAGGTGTTTCATGTAATCTATTAGTGGTTTCCATTTTCTTTTTGTTAGTTTTGCAAAGAGATCTAGTCTCAGATGTTATTCTCTACAGCAATTTATTATAATTTCAGGACAAGATCTGAATTAGACATGTACTTGGTAGCTTCAGAGATTCGGGAGCGGGCCATTGAGCGAATCACAGATGTCACTGGAACGTATGCATTTCCACTCTCAATGACTTGAGTTTTCTCTTTCTGTCTTCCATTCTGAACATGGTTTCAGAAATCTATACTTTGACAATTTTTTGAAATAGCAGGATGTGAAAATCTCATCATATAATTGTTATTTCTTATTAGATGCTTTAATAGTTGTTATCTGTAGTTGCCGTGACTTTAATGTTACTAGTAAATGTATACACCTCATGGCTTGAAGTTGTTTTAGCTGAAATGCCGATACATACATATAAAGGGAGAAGGGCACAGAGGAAGGGTGAGAGAATTCTGACTAAATAATTTCCTGTGTCTGTGTGCAGATATAATGATCTAAACCTCAGGATATTCTCCAAGCAACGTGATTTATTTCCTGAGGAGGTATTTTCATTCATGGTTTGGAAAGCTAAGTCAGTTTTGATACTAAACACTGAGATAATCAAAGACAGTACCAAATGGTCAAATACCACATAAATGTCAATATTTTAGTGATATATATTGAAATTTTCAAAGAAAAAGATGAAGTCATATGTTGGTAGATTGGGGAGCATCATGTCTTGAGAGGGATCATCATCCTTGGTAGGAGATTAAGGCAAGTAAGGGAGCTAAAGAATTCATAGCCTGGTGTGAACAACACTTAATTTGGATTATTGGTTTATCGATCCTTTTCTAATTCGTTTGATTTGGTTTCAGGTATATAACATGGACACATTTAGATGGTCGTTTGGCATTCTTTTTTCACGTTTGGTAAGTAAATGTGTATGTTAGTTTTTCAAGTAATTGCCATAAGTGGTCCAGCTAGGCACAGCTGATTTACAGATTTGTCATTGAGAATTTTTCCAAGATAATAGAAGCATAAGTATAATTGATTTGTTATTCACTATATCTTGGTAGAAACATACGTATAATTGATTTATTATTCACTATATCTTGGTATAACAGGTGAAGTTACCATCAATGGATGGAAGGGTTACTTTAGTTCCTTGGGCAGACATGCTTAATCATAGCTCTGAGGTTTTCCCATTCTTTAGATTCTTCAATTATATATTCTGTATAATTTTTTCGAGATTTTATTTTGTGCTACATTTATATCAATTCATTTATCACTAGCCATATGCCAATGTTCAGGTGGAGACTTTTTTGGACTATGATAAATCATCACAAGGCATTGTATTTACTACTGATCGTTCCTACCAGCCAGGAGAGCAGGTGAATGAGTATTTTTGCCTTGACTCCTCTTTGCAAGTACTTTTGTTATTTTGAATGTACAACTTAGGGAGGGCACCATATGATCTAGAGACTAGATATCAACTTGGATTGAATTCTGGGATAAAAACAGTGTCGATTACGCTTGTTTTACTGTGAAAGCTGGAGCTTTGTGAATCTTATATCAGCTTCCTGTGAAGATTAGCAGCATTTCATAACCTTGTAATCAGCTCAGAAAATTGATTTATTTCTTTCGATGATTTAATGTGGAGACAAGCATCATGAGCTGGTTGAATGCTAGGATACGTGAGTCTCACGTGATTGGTAAATGTCATAGTTGGAGGTTGCAAACTGAGTGAGTGTGCCAAGTTGACTCATTGATCGTTGTACTATTCTTCTTGGTTAGATGAAGTATAGTCTTATATCATTCGTTTTTTCGTGAGATGTTTAGTTCATCTTTCACGTGTAGGACATGCACTTTCTTTCTTTACCTATGCCAAAAGCAAACCTTTCTTTTGTGTAATGCTTGCTTGCTTAGGTAACGTTTCTTTACAATCTGAATAGTGTCTGTTTTTTCCCTTGTTTTTTATTCCAAGAACAACCACTTGACCTCTTGGAGCTTTTTATATGGAGCAAAATGCTTTGATGAATTTCTTATTGTTTAGATTGGTTCATATGCTCAAACTACAACGACATTTAGGACTGTGGTTCTTATTTTGGAGACCATGCTTGTATTTTAGGTCTTCATCTCCTATGGCAAGAAATCAAATGGAGAGCTTCTCCTTTCATATGGGTTTGTTTCCAGAGAAGGCACCAACCCAAATGATTCAGTGGATGTAGCCATGTCAATTAACAAATCTGACCCCTGTTACGTGGAGAAGGTTGAAGCTTTGATGAAGCATGGCTTATCAACGTGAGGATTTCATCATAAACTTTTGTAAAACTTGCTTGGGAATAGTGTTTCCAAATGTGCATGCACATTTGTATGTTCCATTATTTCATATGCTTATATATTTAAGTAATAATTTGTTTGTTATTCCATCTTGCATGGGGCTAACGTATTTGTTCTTGGAAGATTAATTATTAGTATTCTTAAACAAAGAGAAAGGTAAACCACTTGTTGCTTCGTTGCATTTCAATGTTGTAAACTATGGGCCTTAAAAACTTTTAAAAAGGTAAATGTTCTGGACCCAAAAAGAAGAAAAAACTTGTGCTTTGGGGGTACACTATCCAATGGCAATGATGGAAGAAACCATTTTCATTTGGGATCATAACTGTGCAATGAAAATGATGGATGATGAAGGATAGAGAATGGGATCCACCGGACCAGGATATGATCCCAATAGCGGGTGCCGCTCTCTCTCACCATCCATCATTTCCCTGGATGGTGATGACCAAGTGACTTGGTTTTTGGAATCCTCTCCAACTTCCCCAAACTACTAGAAACAATAATATTTTGATGGTTTTGTTTTTTGTGATCAATCATGATACATTTTATTTGCTTCCATGAAAAAGTTATTTCCTTGGTACATGCAGCATGGTAACTATGCAATGTATAAAACAAGATGAGCAATAGTATGACAAGGTTATAGTACTGGATAGGCTACTGGTCTTTCTATCTGTTTGTGAAAATACTCAATTTGAGATTTATCCTTCTATTTAATTTGAGATTTAAAATTGATTGGACAGGCCTCAACGATTTCCTTTGCAGATCACCGGTTGGCCTTTGGAGCTTATGGCATATGCTTACCTTGTTGTGAGCCCTCCAAATATGAGCCAGCAATATGAGGAGGTTAACATTTGACTAAGAATATCAAACTCTTGGTACTTCCTTTTTGAGTAGGATAAATATACTGTAATCTAGTTGCTACTGGGATAGTTGTGGAATGAATATCAATCTGCCATTTCCTTTTTCACACTATCTTCTGATTTCATCCCCTTTCTGTCGTCTTAGAATTCATTTGTGAATTTGTGAAATGGATAATGTTCATGTGATTTTTTTTTTAGCCTTCTTTATTCCCCATTCAATTAAGACGTATTCTACTTTCACAAAATTTCTCATATCACCTGTGGTTCTGTTTTTTACTCCAAAACCATTTTGGCTTGATATGTGTCTCCCATCATCAGTATTTCAACCTTTCTCTGAATTGTTTTCTTCAGTCGCTCATGAAACCTGTGCGCCTTCTCTTCCATTCCATTTTTGTATTTTCATTAATCTCTGTTATGATTCGGTGCAAATTACGTAACTGCTGTCCAGATGGCTGCTGTGGCTTCAAGTAAAGGAACGTCAAAGAAGAACCTCAAGTACCCGGAACTTGAGGAGCAAGCCCTCCAGTTCATCTTGGATTGTTGTGAATCCAGCATATCAAAGTACACCAAATTCTTGGATGTAAGGAACTTTTTCATCATTCCAGAAATCAGACCCTTTTTGAGCCAGTTCACATGTATTTTATTTAGGAAACCTGATTGGTCTTGAGTGGAAAAACTAGTTTGCGAAACTGTGGTTCTATTTCATTCTTTCTGCTAGGGTGGCTTTGCTCTTTAACATGTTACAAAACTGAAGTTAAAAATGTAAGGGCATGTATGGAGGAAGGTTGTAAGCTTTTCCAAGGCCCTTATAATATGTCAAATGTAAGGCATGGAGTTGGAGAGAGGGTTGTAAGTGTTTCCAAGGCTCTTATAATACATCCAATGAAATACATAGAGTTGGATAGAGAGAGAGAGAGAGAGGCTTTTGATCATCATCATCGTCATCGAAGCCTTATCTGAACTATTTGGGGTCGGCTACACGAATCATGTCCTGGCATTCCGCTCTATTATGGGCCATGCCCTCAGATAGACTTACAACGCTTCTCTTACAAGGAATGCCCTAACATGAGCATGTAATGTTGGATAAGGATTCATGATAGGGATGTGGAAAAAATTTTCTGCTGTTTGCTAACCTAACACAACCCTCCTCCTTTCTCATTGGGGCTTCGGATTGGCAGTGGTGGAGTTAGAGAGAGGCTTCTGATCTTAGAAGAAAATAATGGGAGAGAAGTATGAATGAATTTCTAAACTAAAACTGTAAGAGAAAATAAGCTGGATAGAAGCATCTTCAAGGCTTCTACCCCAGCCATGGTACAAGTATCAAATTAGCCGAAATCAAGTGAGTAGAAGTTCTAAGAAAAGCTTCTGTGTGTGTGTGTGTGTGGGTGGGTGTGGGTGTGTGTATAAGCTGTCATCGCTTTGTGTGTGTGTGTGTATAAGCTGTCATTGTTTTGACACTTCCATTTGCATTTGGATTGAAGTTCTTATGTGTTAAGATCTTATGTTGCAGGGTATTGGGAGCAACATTGACAATTCAATTGAGATTTCTCGAAAGCAAGCCAACCGAAAATTGCTTCTCCAACAACTAGCAGTTGACCTTTGCAGCCGTGAGCGGAGGATCTTGTTTCGTGCCCAATATGTATACTTTCTTTCCTATTGAATTCTTTCTTGTGTTTTGAACGGTTCCTTATTTTCATTTTCAGTTTTTGTTTGTTTCTGAAATATGCTTTTATAATAATGGGCAATTTCTCTTGAAAAAACACTTAGTTTTGTGCTCTCTCTCTCTCTCTCACACACACACACACCTAACAGTTTGTTGCTGGTTCAGATATTGCGGAGGAGATTGAGAGACATGAGGACTGGAGAGTTGAGAGCTCTTACCATACTGAATGGTTTTCGGAAACTCTTCAAGTAAACAATGCTCTTCTAATTTGTTTGAGTTTGAGGTGAGGCTCTATTCATTTGCTACAACTCGTTTTGTTTTTGTTCTCAAAATTCATTGAAGATTCCTTTGATTTATTTGGGGGAAGTTATCATTGTGGGAGAGCATAGCCCGATTAATGTGATTATATACAGTTACATTCACAAGTGTGTATACTGGTCATCATTGGATATATGGTGATAAAGAGAGAAGGACCAAGCACCTTGGTTGTCATATTCTGGTAGGTCCTGGTCTCTCTCCTTCATTGTCTATCCACTGATTGGATGGTGATGACACTCTCGGAACCAAAATTTTGTATATTCATACGGATCATAGTATGCTTTCCTATAATGATGCGCTGGTTTTAAACATTCATATAAAACTATTTATAAGATGTAGAATCTATGGCTTCTCTTGATCCCAAAAAAAGTTTTAGAATTACTAGTTCTAAGAGCTGATTTCCAAGTAACCAGAATAGAGAGAGAGAGATGTGATGTTGAATTGATGTGCAGAGGTAGAGAGAAAGAAGGGAAGTCGCTTTGTAATATGCCAAGGACCTGGACATGGCAGACGGGCACCATTGCAATGAAGAACATATGATTCACTGAGCTCTCATCAAGAATGTATGGTATTAAGTTACAAATATAAAAAATGTTCGCTCTGAAAATGTATGCTTGAGCTATTTGCCCCGGGGAAAAGCTTGCACATGGTGTAGTATTGTACTGTAGTATTTATTTTCCAATTTTGAAAGTCGCTGATTCTTTTTGCGTATGGTTTTTGCTCGGCAAGTATGGCTGAGGGACGTAATGGTCATTTTACTCTCTCTCTCTCTCAATAGTTATGCGGTGTTCCCAGTCTTGACAAAGGAAAAAACTTTAAAAATGTAGAATTAAAGATGCACCTTCAAATCCACGAGAGAAGGTTGTTTTAATGTTGAAAAACCCTCTAATTGATCAGGTCATCTCGACATCAAAATGTATGAATATAGAAAAAAAAAAAAAAAAGAATTTTGAGTCTCAAATATAGTGCATCATACAACACATTATCTAGGCTGTTCATTTTCATTTCATATGTTTATATCTACTTGATTTTAACTATTGTTTCAAATTTCAAAATTAGAGATGAAAATAGATTTTCACATAATCCTATAAATTTTTTACACCAAAAATATATGTCATGATAAAATTTGGAGGTGTCCTTAATTAATTAGATTGTTTAAGGTTGGAACCATATACAAACTGCACCCTTTGGTAAATGTTTACAGTGTTTACAAATGGATAAAAACCAATTTTAAAATTCTTATTCCTGCTCTGGAATTGACCATTTAGATTAGGAATTGGCAATCTGGTTTCTAGTCAGAAGCCAGAATCAGTCCGTTGTGATAGATTCACTTGGCCATGTCAAGAACTTTGCGGGTTTGTTAGGAACGTAAGGTGGATCGTACAAATCACCGGTTTCCGTGCATTTTATTTTTTATTTTTTAAAATGTTTAATTTAATTTTATTCAAATAATAATAATAATAATATTTATCAAATAATAATAATAATAATAATAATGCTTATTATTATTATTATTAGATCACTGGAGAATTATTGGTCCCATCCATTCTTAGTGAGTGATCGATGTTGGCCCGACGGGTAACTGATCCTGGATTTTAAAAAGTGATTTTTCTTTCTTTTGATCGCGTTCTCTCTCAATGCAATTCTATCGCTTCCATGTACGTGTGTAAATGTTTGCAATGAATACGAATTCTCTCTCTCTAAAAATATGTAATGGACAATAATCTCTCTTTCTCCAAAACTTCTTGTAACTGATCCAGGATTTAAAAAAGTGATTTTTTTTGTCTTGATAGTTCTCTCTCTCGATGCCATTCTTTCGCTTCCATGTATCTGTGTAAATGTTTGCAATAGATAAGAATGCTCTCTGTCTCTCTAAGTATATCTAATGGATAAGAATGCTCTCTCTCTCTCTCTAAATATATGTTGTGGATAAGAATGCTCTCTCTCTCTAAATATAAGTTGTGGATAAGAACGCTCTCTCTCTCTCTCTCTTAATATATGTAATGGACAATAATATCTCTTTTCTCCAAAACTTCTTCCTCTCATGGTGTCCCCATGTACTGTATGTGATTATAGTTACTAGTATGGGTTGACTTCTATAAACGTCTTTTTCTCTGCACTTAAGATGACCAAAGAGTAGGTTTATCCTGTCATTTGAGTTGAAATGCCAAAATTCTTTTGAAATATCAAAAAAAGAAGTAAAGTTGTGCATCATACCTTACGAAACCGTTCTACTTTTCATGTCGGAAAATCCATAAATCAATCATCTCGACCTTTAATGTTATAGATGTGAGAAAAGAAAAAAATTTCAAATCTTAAAAATAGTGTATTTTGAAACATTTTCTTTAGACTGCCTATTTTAAGTGTTTATGTACCCCTACCAGATTTAGACCAAATTTTAAGTTCCAAATTTTATAATTAATGATGAAAATAAATATGGGGACTTTTAGTCTCACTGACGGTATGATTTTTAATAGAGCAAAATGACATACTAGAATTCGTGCACCCAATCCCAATTAATTGGAAATATGAATTTAGGATGATAATAAATATGAAAATATATTTTAGACCCATTGTAGCAATTTCCTTTCCCCAAACTACTTGAAGCATACAGGCCCATTAAATTAATGAGCCTCAAATTAAGGCCCGGCCAAACCCGATGGGCATCATGAACAGCTGACCCACGGGCCCGCCCCATTGTTCTTCTGCTTAAGAACATGAGCCGGAAATCTGCGAAGAAGATGACCCGCGTTAATCCATAAGGGTAATTTTGTCATTTTACTTCACTCAATTAGAAATTTGTTTTTCCCATTTTATTCAAATTTTCATTTTCCCGTTTGTCTTGCGACTCGTGGATTCTGCTCCTTTTGCTCCTTACATGGAAAGATTTATTTTTTGGGGCAAAATATTTGCAATTTTAGGAAACGTATTTGTAAGGGGAATCTTCTAATGCAATTTAAGACCAAAAACCCTAACGCTTTAGGGCAAATCAGCGGAAGCTCGAGTGTACAATGGAGGGGATCTCTGCAACAACCGGCCCTAATTCTTATTTCTTGAGGCCTATTTCCCTTAAAAATAACACAGCAGTTAAGATCAGCTACAGAGTTTTAATGGCGGACTTTTATAAGAAACCCTCTCTTCTCAGCGTACGAGCACAGCAGGTAATGCTTTCTATGATAATTGAAAGTCTTATTTTTTGTTTTTTTGGAAATTTGGTTTTTTTTCTTGCTCTTTTTTTGTTTGCAGGAGCTCTGGTATCGTAGCGGATATGACTGTATGATTGGTTGAATTTTGTATTTCTTTCATTCCTTTTGAAATTGAATTTACTTTCATTGTAACCAGTTTTTAGGGCTTAGTTGGTTTCTGGTAATCAAATTTTCATGTTTCTTCTTTCTTTCCTCAATTAGTTCATTTTTCAGGGGCATTTTCAAATGTGAAACCCTTGGATTGGTATTCTGGAGCCATTTGAGTTTTTTGTGTTTACAGGTGTTTATTTCTATTGCTTGCGTTGAGAGGCCTGCACTGGGATAGTTTTTGTATGTTATTAAGGACAGAACTCTGTATGATCGCTCGTTCTTATGCATAAATTTAAACTTTAAACATATAATGATTTTCCTTATCAAGAAAAGACATTTGTATGTTCTTTGATTTTAACTAATTTGCTTAGGTTTAAAGTGGCAATTATCCCTTGGATTTTATCCCTTGGATTTTATGTCATAGGATTTTGTTCAGAAAGCAATTTTTTTCCTGAATGTTGCAAGATACTTCCCTTCTTTTTTATTTTTTTGGATAGTTTCTTTCGAATATGAAAGTATGCTTGAATGCAAACTTGATCTAGAATTACATGCGGAAAACCAGTTTTTGTCATTCTTATAAAGTTTTTGAGCTTTTTCCTGAGATTTCCTGAGAATTTTCTATGGAAACCCAAATGTTAAATGTACTTATAAAATTTTCCTTTCTGGGAATTTACCAAAATGTGGGTTGTTCACATTGTTTAAACCTTCAGGAAAAGATGTCACAAATCACAATCACTATTGAACGTCAGATTTTAAATCGGGTGGTTGTCAATGTGTCATTGACTAGACTCAGATTTTGGAAAAAAAAATAATTCTCGAACTTTGTGACGCACCTTATGCTATCCAATTTGACATTTAATGGTTAGGAGTGATTATGACCTCCTTGTAAGTATGGTAAGTGGTCTCATTATATACAATCCCTAAACTTTAAACAATCTCAATTACTTGTTGGCATATAAGAGAACATGCTTTTGACTGTGTGTATCATTTATCCTTGTGATCACAGTCCAGTTCTGGTGATGCGTCAACCACTATTGCCCCTGCGAATGTTACTGGAGAAACACTTTCTGAATCTGAGGAGGTTGAAGATGGGGCCATGCAAGACGATTTGTATGCAAGCCAAGGCATCAGAATAAGAAGAAGACCACCAACTGGCCCCCCATTGCATTATGTGGGTCCATTTGAATTTCGCTTGCAAAATGAGGGCAACACTCCTCGCAACATTCTTGAGGAGATTGTTTGGAATAAGGATGTGGAAGTTTCACAGGTGTCTTTTAATCCCATTGCTTTGTTATGGTTTGATTATTTATTCGCTAAGTTGCAATGAAAGGTCAGTACACTGTAATACAAGGGAGAGCCATAGCCCAATAGGTTCAGCACCATCCAATGAAATGGTGGATGGTAATGGAGAGACTGGGTCCTTCAATTGGGGTCATTTCGTGTTCTAATTGGTCCCACAGTCCCAACGTTTCTATCGATCACTGTCTATAATCTCATCTGACTGTGATGACCCAATTGACTATGATGTCAGTCTAAGAAATCTCGGGCCTACTCAGACTCTCCCTTTTCACTTGGACTCAGCAGGCTACTGAGTCCGGAACACCCCTCAACTCAGTTCACTAAAAATATACCTCTGATTAATTATCATTAATGTATTATTGGTTCAATCTTTGACTAAATCACTTGTAAATGATTAATAATTAATTCTGTATATACTGTTATGTTTTTATATTTTTAATTTTTTTCTTTTTTTTTCTCATTTTTCCTGTGAATTTTATGAGAACCTGATCCTTATCCAAGTTTCTGTTTTTTGAAAACCTTATTTTATTTTATATATATGTTGTTTATTATTATTTTTGCTTTTTCCTGACATTTACCAATTCCTTAGGATTTTGTTTGCCCTTTTCTTTAAATTCCTTTTACTCTTTAGGCGACTCAGTACCGTCTCGAGCGAGTCAAGTTGGACTTGACCTAGTCACTCGGACCGTCAAGGGCTCGAATTCCATGACCGAGCTATGGTTTCTTCATTGATGGGTATCCCTATCAGGTTATAGTATTTACTTTTTTGGCAATAAATGGATTTGTGACAATCATCCTTGTGACTTTGCTTGGTTATATAAATATATTGAATTAAATCCATCTGCAAGATTGAAGGCAGCTGTTGATTCTGCACAGTATCATCTGCTCATTTTTTAATGATTTGATTTGTATTGCTAGATCGGAACAGATGGCTCTTTGACAATTATTATTGTGACTTTGTTCAGTTATATTCTGTTGAAAGATAAACAACCTGTTGTAATATTTGGGGTTCATAGATAGCACTTCAAAACGTTCAAATTTTGAACCACTAAGTTGCAATGAAAGTGACAATCATTATGGCTTTGCTTGGTTATATGCAGATGAAAGAGAAAAGGCCCCTTGCGAAATTGAAGGGAGCTCTTGACAATGCACCACCTGTTAGAGATTTCATTGGTGCTCTGAGGACCTCCCATCTTCGAACTAGGCTGCCGGCTTTGATAGCTGAAGTGAAGAAGGCATCTCCAAGTAGAGGAGTCTTGAGGGAGGATTTCAATCCGGTAACTTGCAAATCCAATTGATAATTTTCTTTGGTGGCTTAGTTTCCTTTAGAGGGATGGACACCTAAACTTGGATAAAGTACAACTTAGGACCACTTAACTAAGATGCACATCATCAAAGTAGTGTCTATTTTGTTTTTAACTGAACATACTGATCATTTTGACAAGATAGGAGCACTAGTGGTCTTTCATGTGTTCCTTGATTGCAATTTGTTGTTATTAGGATTTAGAATCTTGTTGAAAGCAAAAACTTATGTCGTGGCTAGTGGTTGAGTTATACTATGAAATTGTGGGAGAGAGTGATTGAGCAATGATTACAACATAAAACAAGTATATCAGAAAATCAGTTCGATTTTGTGCCGGGGAAGTTAACCATTGAGGCTATTTCCCTACTTAGGTAATTAATTGAGAGGTTTAAGGAGAAGAAAAAAGACCTCGATATGGTCTTTTATTAATTTACAGAAAGTATATGATACGGTACCTAGAGATTTATGGTTGACGTTGGAAAGGAAGGGAGTATCCAAAGGATATATTGACATGGTGAGAGATATGTACGAGGGAGTGCTAACTAGTGTGGGGGCAACAAGTAAGCCCACACCAGGAGTTAGCATTGAGCACATATCTCTTTGCTTTAGTTATAGACGAGTTAACTAAGCATCTATAGGATGAGGTATTGTGGTGTATGTTATTTATACATGACGTAGCGTTGTTTGAAGAGTTTAGAGACGACATCAATGCAGAGTTTGGAACTTTGGAGGGATGCTCTAGAATCTAAAGGTTTTAAAATTAGTTGGACTAAGACATAATATATGGAATGCAAGTTTAGTAATAATTGGATTAGAAACAAGGAATTAGTTAATATTGATGGACAAGAAGGTCCTGAAAAAATGATGAAGCAAAATTAGAGCTGGGTGGACGAAGTGGAGATGTGCTTTTGGATTCTTATGTGATAGTTGCATACCAACGAAACTGATGGAGATGTTCTATAGGACGGCGTTAAAACCAGTTATTCTTTATGGACGGAATGTTCGGCGGTCAAGATATATCATATTCATCAAATGAGTATAGCTAAAATGAGTATAGACCAGGAAGGATAGCATTCATAATAAATACATCCAAGGGAACTAAGGGATAGCTCTAATAGGTGATGAGACAAGGAAAAGTCGACTTAGGTGGTCTGGTCATGTGCAACATCGACCTGGAACAGAATCAGTTGGGAGGGGTGATTTGGGTCAAGTGGAAGAATCTAAATGTGTAAGTCCCAAAAGGGCATCGATGGAAGTAGTGAGAAGTGATATGGTGATTTATGATTTGACTGAGGGTATGGCCCTTAATGGAGTGGAATGGTCAAACATGATTCGTATAGCCCATCTCAAATAGTTGGGATAAGGCTCGAATGATGATGATGTCATGCTTAGTGGTCGAGGATTGGATGTTACCGTAAGTTTATTGCATTCATGGTTTTTACTGTGAGAAAAACATGAGGCAATACATTTAAAAAAAGCATTTTGTGCATCCATGGGCTCATACATTGGCTTTCTCCTGATTTTAGGACTCAACAACACCCCAAATCTTTGCAGTTCCATTGCTGCCTGAGATTCAGGAATTTGGAACTCCAAAAATAATCCTGATTTGATAATCTTTGAAGAATTGAAATAGATGGGTTCAAAGACCATTTAAAGGCACGGAGTTTATTTTCCCCCCCAGATTCTTGATCAAGGAGGTCAAGATGGTTTTACCTTTCGAGTTTTAGATTGTGAATTCATCTGCAAGATGGAATTATTCGGGTGCATGAGTCCATGGAGGCAACCTAAACTCACCCTTGCTTTTATGGTTATTCAAGGCATTTGTTCTTCTTTCCTCTGTTGGTGACTTTTACTTGGTGGTTTTTAATATTTTTCAAACATAAAGGCTGTAAATTTCATAGATGTTTTCTTTTTATTATATGCCATACTTCTGTATCTGTTTTGACTGTTTTTGCTCTCTTCATGATTTGAGTCCACATAATGTTATGTTACTGGGAGCTGTCTGAATTTTGTTTCCACGTGCTTCTCTACATATGTAATAATGCCAATTATTCTTACAAATGAGTTCTTGATTTCTTACAGGTTGAAATAGCTCAAGCTTATGAGAAAGGTGGAGCAGCTTGCCTTAGCGTTTTAACAGATGAGAAATATTTCCAGGTACTTGCTGAACCTTTTGTCAATGCCTATGTATATTGTTTTTGTACTGAATGACTGAAACTTGACTAAAGTCTTTTTAGCAGATTGTAGTTGAGTAAAGTTGGTTTCATGGTCTTCATTCCTTTTCATTAATCTTACTGTACTTTCTTCTGGTTTGAAGGGTAGCTTTGAGAATCTGGAGGCTATCCGGAATGCCGGAGTAAAGGTCTGGTCTTACAACCTATAAGCCTTGTTTACTCATCCTGTATCTATTGAATGCCACTGATACTGATATGTTCTTGCACATTTTATTTGAACCAATAATTTCTAGTCCTATGTCGGTATGTTTCACCGAAAGCTTTTTTCATTGCACTTTTTAACCTATTTTCTCAGTCCGCTGCTAACATGGGAGCCGAAATGCAGTGCCCTCTTTTATGTAAAGAATTCATTATCGATGCATGGCAAATCTACTATGCTCGGGCAAAAGGTGCAGATGCAGTTCTTCTAATTGCTGCTGTGTTACCTGATGCTGACATCAAATATATGACAAAGATCTGTGAGAAACTTGGCTTGGCAGCACTGATTGAGGTTTGTGAAGTGTTTCCATGTGTTTCATTGATGCTGTTTGGACAATCCATGAATAAATTGAATATAGGAAATTTCAAAACCTGAACATCTACATCATATAGAGTTGTTTACCACTATAAGGGAGCTTAACAGACATATTTGTCTTTGTTTTTCTTGCTTTGGATTTTATGTTGAGACTCAGCGGTGCTGAGATGGCTAAGATCAACTGCTTGCTATTTCAATGGCCATGTTTCAAATAAAATGCTTCCATTTATAAAGCCATCGTATGTGCCATGCTGATCCTGGGCATCTGGGTGGTAGTTCGATGTCAGTTTGCATGCAGCTTGAAAGGATGGCCAAAGTTTAGTATTGTAGATATCATATATCATAATGCTACAGTGATAACGTTCTGATGCTATATCTTCTTCTACTTTTTATTGTTGATTTTTTGATGCTGTATCATTTTATATCTTTTGTATAGGTTCATGATGAAAGAGAAATGGATCGTGTGCTGGCAATAGATGGCATCCAATTAATTGGTATCAATAACCGTGATCTAGGTAATCTAATACATCCTTAACTCTATGGTTCTTACTTTACTTTTCAGGTTTTGATTGTTCACTTTCAAACAGAAAAGCAGAAAAAAGTTTTGATTGTTCCATTGTTTCAATGGATTTCTTTATCGGTATTTTTGACATATCCGGAAACATAGCTCTAGGAAATCACTGTTGACCCACCTTTTCCCTGGTGTTTGTCATACTCTCCGTCTTATCTTTTGAGATAATTGTGTATATTGGATGAGGATCAAGCTAGATTTCTGAATGATACAGGATTAGCTTATCAAAAAGCAGGATTAGATTTTTAATCTAAATGGCACTCTAAATCTGTCTGTCTGGACAGTACTGGTGGATTTGCATGTCTTGGTATATTAACCTTTCATGACTATCTGAACGGTGTGGATTTTGATTTCCATCTCAGAAGCTTTTAGGGATTTTATATGACACAAAAGCTCCAAGTTACATGTTGGATTTGTTTCACCATTTTGGGGTGACTAGTATTATTTTTCGGATTGCATAGAAGAACATTGCCATTGCAGTGTTATCACTGTAATAAATTCTGGAGTTCTTGTCATTGATATATTTCCATTGCTGAACTGAGTCTTAATTCGATTTCTTTTTTTCCCCTTCGTTTTTGAATGTTGTCAGATGGTTCAATTAGGACTACAATTCTTTCAGGACATTTGGGACTAGGATTATGGTAAATGGCACAAAGATTATAGTGATGATAATCAAATAAAAAAGCCTTCAGATTTTTGTGCAGGCTTTTTGTGCAAACTTTTCTTCTTTTGTTTTGAAAATTGCAGCATGTTAGGCAGTTCTGTAAACAGTTGCAACAGTAAATTGTGACTGACCCGAGAAAATTGTTGTTGGGCAATGTTCTTGACCAAATATTTTGATCTGTGCCTGATCTATGCAATATACAAAAAAGCTTATGTTATTTGAGCCTTTTGCAGGAACATTTCAAGTTGATATAAGCAACTCGAAGAAGCTTCTTCAAGGAGACAGAGGACAAATGATAAAGCAAAGAGATATAATTGTATGTTAGATTCCTCACCTTACTTGGATTTTTGTGGCATGCTGAGACTTCATGGTCTCCATTAGAGCCCATGATGCATTTAACTCATGGTTCTCGACCTTAAGAGTTTAGTTTATGGTGTAAGTTACTCATAAGAAAGTTGAATAGCACACCACAAGAGAACACTAATATCATATGGCTGAAACAAGCAGCATGCTGCTACTATGTTCTGCCTTGTCCCCATAGTTCTAAGTTTGTGAATTATAATTATTTGTTAAACATCCTAAAACTCATGTCGTAAAGCATATTTGTTACAATCCAAGACCTACTTCTATTGTTCTTTTTATGAAAATTTAAGAGCTTGCTTGTTGAAAACAAAAAATAATATATGTTGGTTCCATTACTGGTTAATGGTCTTGTTTCAATTACTTGTTTTCTTTTCGAGAATTGGATCGATGGATGTTTGGGTTTCTCTGGTACAGGTGGTTGGGGAATCTGGGCTGTTTACACCTGAAGATATCGAGTATGTGCAAGAAGCTGGAGTCAAAGCAGTATGTCCTCTCAGTTGTAACTCACTCTAAATAATTAATGAACCTAATTTTTTGCCTTTTGAAGTTTCCAATGATATCTCGAGTCTGTTTTTTTGTTCAGTTTTGTGTGTTTTCCCGCTTAGTCAGGTGCAGTGGTTTCCAATAGAACTGGTGGTAAGCATGGTGCATTGGGAGAAGTCGTTCCAAATTTCTTCTTTGTTAGTTGTTGCGTCTTTGCCAATTTGGATGCTTGGTTCATATGTAGATTTTTTCTCCATCTCTTAGGCTCAGGTTTCTACAGAGAGAGAGAGAGAGTAGGACTGGTAATAGGTCAGGCTGGGGCTGAGGCTGAGGCCCGGTCTCTATAGGGCTGGCCCTAGCCTGGGCCAAGCTGAAGGTGCTGTAGCCAACGCCTGGCCCATGCCTAATAAAAACAAAGAAAATTTAAAACAAAAATATAGGGCCAGCCTGGCCCTTGGGCCACATTTTGTGGCCTAGGCCCTAGTTTTTCAGTGCAGGCCCGGCCTATTGCGAACTCTATGAGAGAGTATACCATAACATAGTTGAGAAAGAGTGCATGACCATACAATGGTAGAGAGAGAGAGGGGGCATGGGAGAGAGAGGCATATGTGTGTGTATGTGAAGGAGAGAGGGAGAGGCATATATGTGTTACTAAATCTAGTTTTCATCTCACTCCTTTTGCCGAACGGATCTTGCAGGTTTTAGTGGGTGAATCGATTGTGAAGCAGAGCAATCCTGCCAAAGGAATTGCAGGGCTTTTTGGAAGAGACATCTCCATATGATCATGGAATTTTTTATTTTTTTTTAATTGCTAAATATTGGAGTACATTCAGACTGATTGAGAACAGCATCCCGGGTCTAATGGTCAAGTGTAACAAAGTGATGTTTAGAGTTTCATTATCAATGGGTCTCAAGTCAATATTAATAAACAGAAAAAATTTATGCAAGATTGCAATGAAGTAACATTATAAATTTATTTTATTTAAACGATGTAGATTTGACACTATCTTAAAAGATGTGTCAATATTAAAAGGGAAAAGTTTATATAAGGTTGCAACTTTAAAATGTAGAATTATAGATGCACTTCAATAATCCATCGTAGAACATTGTTACAATGTTGAAAACCTCTTTAATTGATCATCTCGATCTCGAGATATATGAATACGAAATAACGAAGAGATTCCGAGTCCAAAAAATAGTGTAATTTACAATAAATTATCTACACTGTCCATTTTCAAGATTTTTATATATTTATGAGTAATGATCCTATAAAATTTTTCCACACTTATGTGTGTAGTACTTCAAAGGATCATTATTAAATTTGATACAGATCTTTAGAAAAGTGAAAAGTGAAGTTTCATATCCATATGATAATTTTTTTAGATATTTGTGTTAAATTTAATGATCTTTTGGGGTGTGTGGGAGGGTCGTATACGATCATTACTATATATTTATAGATTTATTTGATTTTTACCATTTTTGGAGTTTTAAATTTTATAATTAAATATGAAAATAGATTTTCAGATAATCTTAAGAGGGTTTTACATCAAAAATACATGTTATATTAAAATTTGGAAGTGTGCCTTAATTTGATTGTTTAAGGTTGCGACCTTGTAGAAACCACACCCATCTTAAAAGGCATTTAATTTATGTCATTTAACTATAATGACTAACTTTGCTTCTATAAGTAAGTATGCGGCCTTATACAAATTGCAACCGAAAATAAGTATATATTATAACGTTTTGTTTATTTATGTCACTCAAAAGGAATGTCGGATTTTTGTTTTTATTTTTAGGGAAATCATTGTTAATATACCTAAATTTTAATAAAAATGAAAAAAATTCTGAACTTTTCAAAACCTTGCCTACACCTTTTTTTCTCAATTTTTGTTAGCTTTTGGATGAAAATACCCTTTATGGTAGTCTTTCTATCTTAATACTTATACTTTTTATGGTAATATAAATATTGTTATACATTGAGTTAGTATTATGATATAAAGAATACCATAATATTTTGAATTTATATTATGGTATATAGAATACCGTAATATCTTTGCGGTATTCTTAATGCCGTAATGCTCTACTTCCATCATTGTTGTTGTTGTCTTCTTCAATTTGATGTGATGAGGACACATTGTTGCATAAATTCTTGAAATAAATTTCAGTATGCATACAAGGCATTTGAAGATTTGGTGTAGGTTGTGAGTTTTTTTTAGTTGAATCTTCAAATAGCATTGCAGTGCAATAATGATGTATTTTATGCGCAAAGTAACCATTACAAAGAAAAGACTTCCTCTCTCTAGTAACCATTATCTACATGTGGTTATTCCTTTATCTTCGCATAATAAATCAGTGGGTAATACAATACACATTTGCTGCATACACTGCTCAGCCGCGGTAGACGTTTCAGCACATTCAGTAACCATATTACCGTATAATTTGAATGAAGTATTACGGTATACTAGAACCGTAATATCATGCCAAAGTAATACAGTAATTATATTACCATATAAACTCTCTTCTTTATAACCGTATATATATTACCGTATAGGCTTTTGTAAACATTACGATATTTAAATTACCATAATTCTATTTACGGTATATAGACTATCGTAAAAAGTATTTTCGTTCAAAAAAATCCAAAATGAGAAAAAAAAGAAGCGAGCAAGGTATTGAGAATTTGAGGGTTTTTTTTTCAAATTTTATTAAAATTTGAGTATATTAACGATAATTTTCTTTATTTTTAATTTAAAAAAATATTGAATCTTTGAGTTAGCCAAGATTTGCGCAATTGGATAACAGCGACTAATTTGGTCAGCTAAAAAGTGGTCAGAAATCCAACTTTTTTCATAATCTAAAAATATAAAATATAATTTTAAATCACCTTGAACCGAATTAAGCCTAGTTTAGGCCTTGAGGGTAAATGACCATTATATTATAGAAATGAAATAAGGAAACTTTTAAGGATTTTTGGACTTAATTTTTAAGGATATGTAATCTCTAACGTGGAGATCATGAATATGAATAAATAAATAAATTATAAAAACTAAAAATAATAGTTCTATTAAAAAAACATTTGGACCATTAGTTTCAATTGTTTATTATATATTTTTCATGTTTTCAGGTGTTTACGTACGGGTTCTCAAAGTTGTCTTCTCTTTTCAGGTAGGCCACTGTGAACATATATTTGAATATGGAGAAGAGATTTGCCAATGTACCTTTTCTGTTATCTGGCAACATGGTCCACAATCCGGTAAAAGGGAAAACATCCATGTAGAGGATATTTGCTTGCTGCAACCTCAAAATCCTAGGACTAATACCATATTGGAAAATTTTATAATGAAATGCAAAGAAAAATTTAGCTCAAATTCCAAGAAGCCTAGGAATCGACCTTTATCTAGTTCTCAATTTTGTGACAACAAATGCCTGCCCCATGAACCAGTTGGCCCTGATCTTAAGAATAGAAAGGATGGATTACCATATAACTGCAACTGTCCCTCCAACAGTATAAAGAAAGAAGCCCTGGAAAGAGATAACAGAGTGTCAGACTTGACAAGTGGAAATGAGAAGGATGGAAACCTTTGTGGCAGTAGAAAGTCTTTTGACTATTACTCTTGTGATGATGAGAATAGAAATCTGGTTAAGCATGACTTCTGTAGGGAAAAGTTAAAGGGCCGTAATGATTGTCGAGGTATGAATGTCTCTAGTGAAACTCATGAAACCATAAGCACGTATTTTGTTATCTTGATTGAGAATTTGGAGACAGATCTATCAGCTCTAGATATCATGGATTTCATTTATGAGCAAACCTTTGTTTTGTGTCGAACAATAGCTTGTCAACAGAGCATTATGCAAGGGGAGCTATTTTTTTGGAAAACCAAGAGAGCTTTATGAAGGTGTATAGTTTGCTATATAACCCTGATCATATGGTCATGTCCTCAAACGGAAGGTATGATTATTCCTGATTATATTCTTTTACACCCTCTCTCTCTCTCTCTCTCTCTTCCTCGACATATCCTTGTCTTTGTTATGTTAGGGTTTTGGCAAATTGTGTCACCCAATGCATTTCATTTGAACAAAGAGTTTGGTATGCTTTACAATTGATAGTGACATTGTCGTGAATTCTCATGTGTAACCTAATGTTTATCCTATGTTGATCCTGGGCCCTCCTGCCCCTAGCCCTAATTGTGTTGTACGTTTACCATATGGATATGTTACTCTGCGGTTAAGTTAGGTTCGAAATAGTATATAAGGGATTTATGTGTTTTTGCTTCGATGGAGAGATTTATCAGGGAGAGCCATCTTCTACTTTTTTCGAGCTGCAATAGTATAATCATTGATATCTTTGCCCGTGGATATAGTCACAACTTGGTCTTCTTCTTTGTTATTTATTTTCGGCCAATTTGTTTTATGTTTGATCTTGTTCATTGTCATTTCCTCTTTTTTCATATTGTCATCGACCCAATCTGCTATGAGTTTTATTCAGTGGCTATGATGGTGTTGTACTTGCCATAGATTTCTTGATATTACATTGTTGTTGGACGGTGAAAATCTTCAATTGAAGCAGGGCCCATATCGTGATGCATTATCAAAATAGTCAATATTTTATTGGTTGCTAAAAAAATTTCAGTTATATCTATATAATCTGAAAAGCTGACCCCAAATAATGGGATAAGGCATACATGTTGATGATGATTTATATAATTTGAAAATATGGTAATCTTGATTTGAATCCTGCTTGGTAGCCAATCCAAATAATAGTGGCCTAACTGGATGCCACATTTCCTGTTTTTTCATGATTAACCCGGCTGAATTAAGTGAGCAGTCCTATTTCTTATTGCTGCCTGGTTCCTAACAAGCCATAGCTCACAGCATCACATTTGTGGTCCTAGCTTAGTTGCTTGGAAGTAGGGAAATACTTTCTTGTATGACATGTTATGTGGCTATCATTCCATTATGGAACAGTGACTCTAGTTTATTTGGTTGTTTACGGGGCCCTAATTGCCTCTGAGGTCTCTAGAAAGAATTTCACTTCAGTCAAATGCCATTTTAGAATAGAGAAACTCCACCGTCAGTAAACTAAATTTGGTAGGTGATCCGCTGAAGAACTTATCTATTTCCGAATAATATTGCTTGCATTCACTGATTACAAACAAGATTTATGAAAACAAAAGGAAAAAGGTATTATCCACTCAAATTTACCAACTAATGGAATATAGTATGCAAAAAGCAAGTGCTCTGGTTTTTGTTGCTGAACGAGAATGAGTCTGTGAGGAGTGGGGATTAAGTAAAATTGCTGCATAAATAAGATTTGATCAGCTTCACACTATGAGGGTGGGGGAAGAAATAAGAGGCACCTGAGGAAGGTTTAGAGGAAGAGAGCATGCCACATTGAAGGATTAGAAACATTGGTATGAACTTCTTCCATTCTGCACCGAGATGGGTAAGGTTACCGTCTCTTTCGAGCTGTGCATACAAATTTAAGGGAGAGAATTGAGCTGAAAATGAGAGAGTAAGGGGAAGTGAATGGTCTTGTAGGAGACCTTGCCATGAGAATCTATCCCACAACACTCTGAATGGTGGGTATCGCCTAATCAATCCAATGCAATGGTTGGAGGGGGATGGCCCACCTTATCCTGGTGGGAGGGCCACCCACCTGATCAACATCCTATAGTCAAAGCTTAAAGTAGATATTTTCTTTTATTTTATGTTCTTGTAGGTTAATCGAGGATTCAGTAAGTTCATTCACTAAACATGCAAAGTGGGATGGATTATTCAGGGAAACTTGACCCCCAAAAGCTGATGAAGGATTAACTTTTGGTAGATGGGTGGTTCTATATATGGAAACCTTGTTTATGTTACCATCAATTGGTTAGCTACATTTTATCTCATTATAAACTGAAGTTTGTATTTTTTATTATTATTATTTTTTTTCAGTTTCTTCGCCCATTTAAACTTGCCTTCAAGTTTTTGATA